ACGACTACGACTACTACTACTACTACTACTTCTTCTTCTTCGGCTACGATTGTTTTCGTGAGTATTTCTACTACAACGACGACTACCACCGTTACTATTACTTCTACGAATACTATTGCTTCCACTCCTACTACTACTACCACTACTACTACTACTACTACTACTACTACTACTACTACTACTACTACTACTACTAACTACTACTACTACTACGATTGTGATTGCATTATTTCTATCACTACGACTACGACTACTACGACTACGACTACGACTACTATCTTGATTGCTACTACTACTACTTCCACTGCTACTTCTACTACTACTACTACTACTACTACTACGACTACTACTATTACTACTACTACTACTTCTACGACTACAGTGCTACTACTATTACTTCGAGTGCAACTTGTACTACCCCTATCACTTCTACTACTACTAATTATGTTAAGACAACTACTACTACTACTACTACTACTACTACGACTACTACTATTACTACTACTACTACTACTACTACTACCACTACTACTACTACTACTACTACTACTAGCACTACTACTACGACTACTATTGCTATTTTGCCTACTACGACTAGTGTTTCTGCCACTACTGCTACTACCACTTACTACTGCGACCGCGACTACGACTACGACTGCTGCTACTCCTATTGCTGCTACTACTACTATTACTACTACTACTACGACCACTACTACTACTACTACTACTACTACTACTACTACTACTAGTACGATTGGTACGATCATTACTGTTACTACTACTACTACTTTTGCGACTACGACTACGACTACTACTCCTACTACTACTACTACTACTACTACTACTACTACTACTACTATTATTATTACTACTACTACTACTACTACTACTACTACTACTACTACGACTACTACTACTACTACTACTACTACTACTACTCCTCTTATTACTACTGCTACCACGACTACGACTACTACTACTACTAGTACGACTACGACTACGATTCCCGCGATTACTTGTACGACTACCACTACTATCATCACCAGTGTTTCAATTTTTACCGCTACTACTACTACTACTACTACAACTGCCGTTACTATTATCATTACTACTACGACTGCCACTACTGTTCTACTACTACTACTACTACTACTACTACTACTACTACTACTACTACTACTACGACTACGACTACGACTACTACTACTACTACTACTACGTCTACTACTAGTACTACTTTCTTGACCACGACTACGACTACTATCACTACAACGACGACGACGACGACTACTACGAATACGAGTACTGATACTACTACCACGATTGTTCTGATTAGTAGTACTATAACTACTACCACTACGACTACTACTACGACTTCTACTACTACTACTACTACTACTACTACTACTACTACTACTACTACTACTGCTTCTACTACTACTACTACTACTACTACTACTACTACTACTACGACTACGACTAATACTACGACTTCGACTAGTACTACCACTATTATCCATACGACTGTTACTACTCCGACTACTACTTCGGTTACTTTCACCCATCTTGTCACCTCTACTATTACTATTACGTCTACGAGTTACAGTCCTATTACTACTTATACTTCGATGGCTGCTTCTACTCCTACTTCTCCTACGAGTAGCATCGTTATAGTAGTATCATGATTGTTGCTACTACGTCTACTACGTCTACTATTCCTACTGCCACTACTACTACGACGAATACGACTACCACTACTACTACTACGACGACGACGACTACTACTATTATTACTACTACCACAATTATTAGTAGCAGAAGTATTACTATCATCAATACTACTACTACTACTACTACTACTACTACTACTACTACTACTACTACTACTACAACCGCCACCACGACTACGACCACGACGCCGACGAATACTACCAATAATACTACACGGAAAGCCACGGGAGGCTACGTCTCCCCATGGATTCCAGATCCGACGACTTCTCTATAGTCTTAGTAGAAAAGACTCATGTTGTGTTACATACAACCATGTGCGAAGAAATTGATATGTCACTGCATGTGTGCAAGGTGGATACTTTGTTCAAGTTCGGTTTCTGGCTTTGGGTTCACGCCATTTTGGATGACCAGGGAGCCCTTCACACCGTTTGAGGGCAGATATTTGTCAAGACGGGTTTGGTTGGACAGTCCTTCGAACTGTCTCATCCTGCCCCTTTTCCTGCGGTTCTCTTAGGTAGATACATTGGCGGGCGGATCTTTTACACAACGGGGTCGCGCCTGAGCGGCAGGCCCATTGGGCCCTCGTCATCCAGGCGGGGCGCCCGTCTCCGCCTGCGGCGGGCACGTGCAACCCGGGCACGCCTGCGAGCGACCGCCCCTGACCTCGGCGCCCTGTGGGGACGGAGGGAATTGTGACGCCGCCGAGATCAAAATAAAGTGCCGCTGGTCGGGAACGAGGGAAGGAGGAGGAGGAGGAGGAGGAGGAGGAGGAGGACAAGCCGAGGACAGGAAGAGGGCGACTTGGGCGGGAGAGTCGATCCCAGCATCGTTGATGCATCATGTGTGTACTCTAGTCCTCCTTCTCCTCTTCCGCATCATCATCATCATCAGCATCACCGTTGTGTTCATCATCATAACTATGCTCATCATCATCTTTACCATCGTCATCATCAGCAGCATCACCATCACCAGCATCATCATCCTCATCATCATCATCATCATCATCATCATCATCATCATCATCATCATCATCATCATCCCCCTCCTCCTCCTCCTCCTCCTCCTCCTCCTCCGTCGGCATGAGGAGAAGGGTCCTGGATCGTCCAGGGAAATCCCTGGGACTAGGTTTTCATCCCAACCCGTGGTTTGACGGTCTCGCAGGCCGGGCAAGGGCCCCAAGAGGCCGAAAATTCAGGAAAGCATGCATTGAGTTCCCCCCTATCAGTGCACTGTCCTCGATGGGGACCTAGAACAATCGACCCCCAGACCTCTCTTGGGGTGCGCTTGGGCCACTTTCGAGGAGAATCCAGCCTTGGCGGCAAGGAGCCCCCCAGAGGCCCAGAGAGACAGCGAAGATGCCAGAAACCTCGATCCTCGATCTCCCTTCTATCTACGGACTGGCGCTCGACCGCGCGATCTTCACCGTCGATCTCACGGCTGCCTCCGCGGTCGGCGGCGGGCCGTTGCGTGGCGGATCGCACCCCGAAGGGCTTCGACGAGGTGCAACACTGAAGCACCCGCCCTGTGGCCCAGCCACGGGGAGAGGAGGCGAGGGGCCGGAGGGTGGGGAGGACCAGGCCGGACGCTCCGCCACCACGCACTCCTCTTGGACGCGTGGCCGCCCCTGGCTCCCCAGAGGCGCCGGGGAAGCCAGCCGCACGCAGACGATGCGCTCAGCGGTCCCCTCTGCTGTGCCCCCTGTCTCGTCCGCCCGGACGGAAGGGTGGAGGAGCACCCGACCTCCGAAGTCTGGAAGAGATCGCGCCGCGCGCCATCGCGCTCCGGAGGCCCCGGGGGCAGGGGGGGAAGCAGTCCTCCCGGGTGGAAGCAGGAGGAGGGCGTTCCTGAGGGTATTTCGGGGAGCGAGGTTTGAGCTTCAAGGTTTCCAGACGCAGTTGGGCCTCGTGTTGGGTCGCCAGGAGCACCCTCGTCTCCACGGCTGTACTGCCATCAAAATTGGAGCGCACCCCACACAGATGTCTGGAGGTGGAAAGTCCAGCGTCTCGGCAGGTTCGCGCTGGAAGGTTCTCGCAACTGTCGGCCTCCAAAGGCCGTTTCTGAGCCCGCGGGACCGTCCAACAGCGACCCCGGATCACAAGCGGATCCCAGGTAATCGGAGGGAGGAGAAGCGACACCAACACCACCAGGGGGCCCACCTCCACCAAAGAGGTCCACGATGCCTCCCCGAGCTGGAGGCTGGGGATGTCTCGAGCGACAGGGGGGGGACCACACCACCAGGGAGACCCCCATTGCCTCATCGCATCTCCTCGCCCTGGTGGTGTCGGTGTCGCCCTTCCTCGTTTCTACTGTAAGGGTTCGAGAGGTCGGGAATGCCGGCGACTCACAAAAGTCGAGTCGCGGAGAAACATTTGGAGCGGGCGCAGACTTCCCCCTACTGACACGGGACAATTGCTTCATCCACCGCGCTCCCCGGGACAGCGCCACCAGCGGTCCAGCCACCTCCTCTTCCGCTTCGCACGCAGGATGGGAAGGCTCCCGTCGCCCCCCGCTGAGAATAATGCACTTCCCCCTCCTCCTCGTCCACCTTTCTTTGACGTTGGCCAGAATACATTAAGCGAGGCCTCATCCACCTCCTCCACCTCCTCCTCCACCTCAGCATCCTCTTCGACCACCTCCCCGCCCACCTCCATATCCCCCTCCTCCTGGTCCACCTCCGCCTCCTCCACCTCCTTCGCCTCCTCGTCGTCCACATCAACGCTGCACAGCAGGACGACTGCTGGCTTTCCCTTTGGTTGCATCCCTTTCATTTTGAGTCCATCCCCCAGCCGCCAAGTCCAAAAAGTCTCCCTCCTCCTCCTCCTCCTCCTTCTCCTCCTCCGTCTCCTTCTCCTCCTCCTCCTCCTCCTCCTCCTCCTCCTCCTCCTCCTCCTCCTCCGCCTCCGCTTCCGCCTCCTCCTCCTCCTCCTCCTCCTCCTCCCCCACCTCCTCCTCCTCCTCCTCCTCCTCCTCCTCCTCCTCCCTCCTCCTCCTCCTCCTCCTCCTCCTCCTCCTCTTCATCCAGCTCCTCCACCTCTTCCTCGTCAACCTCCTCCTCCTCCTCCTCCTCCTCCTCCTCCTCCTCCTCCTCCTCCTCCTCCTCCTCCCTCCTCCTCCCCTCCTCCCCCTCCTCTTCCTCCTCCTCCACCTCCTCGTCCACCTCCTCCACCTCCTCCTCCACCTCCTCCGCCTCCTCTTCGTCCACATCTTCTCCATATCCTCGCCCACCTCCTTGCCCCGGGAGCGGCCACACCTCCCGGTGCGGCACCGAGGCCCAGGCGGCCGGGCGCAGCGGCGTGGCCCGCCGCCCGGGGGGCCGCGAGCCTAGCGGGGAGGCTTGCGGGGCAGCCTGTGCCGCTTGGAGCCAAGCACTGCTCTGGCCAGCAGGAAGAGCGGGCAGGTTCGAGGCTTTGGGTTCGGGAAGGCTTTTTGCCGTTTTCGGGCCCTGGGACCGCCAAAAACGGATCCAGGGCGAGAAAACGTGCACCAGATGAGCGTTGGGAGGGGTCTGGGGGGACCGATGTTGATCGAGTTCGATTCCAGCCCCTTTACCGACCGACTATCTGAGGCCCCAGTCAGTTCAGGCCCCCAGGCCGCCTCCCCAATGTGGTGCACTCCATCTCCTCGGGCCCTCGCGCCCCGAGACGAGCAAGGCATGAGGATGCAGACGCGATTTGTCGGGCTGATACTCTGGGGGGGCCTGTGCCCAGGGGAGACTGCAACACCGCTCGGCGCTGTGCCGTCGACCAAACCTGCAGGGTGGGCCCTCTCCGTGTTCCTGCGCACTTCAGCTCTGGCCTCGGCTTCAGCTGCGGGTGCACCGTGAAGCGCCTTCGGGCCAGCTCACCCGAGTCGGCTTTCCGCTCACGTGGGTGCCCGCCCCCCTCGGGCCCTCGGACGACGAAGCTTTCGAGGGCGCGTAGCGTGCATGCAGGTGGGCCTCTTGTATCGTCTCTGGCGCAGAGCGCTGCTGCCTGTGGCCGTAGCAGGGCAGGGCTGCTTTAGACCGTACCGCGAAAGCGTCACTTGGAAATGTATCGGTTTTCACTCATAGCATACTCTCCTCGTTCGTCCCGATCCCACCCCTTTGTAGGCTCCTACTGGTAGAAATTACGGACATGCCCAATTTCAGGTTATTAGAACCCTAGGCATGTGGTTGTTACCAGATGCTCAGGTTTGTTGTCATAAAGATGCATGTGCTTACTGGCATGGATGTTTGATTGCGTACTTGCTTGTTCGTTTGCTTACACGTGCGCCCATGTGTGCGTTGCTTGTTGTCGTGTCAGGAGCATGTGCGTGCGTGTCGGTTGTCCATCCATCCGTGCGTGTGTTCTAGTTTGCCTGCTTACGTGCTTGGTTGCCCGCTGGTCCTGCTTGTGTGCGTGTTTGCTCGTTTGCTTGCAATCTTTCCAACTTGAAGATCACGCCTGTAGATATCACACTACGGGGGAAGCCGGAAAGAGTTGATCTGGCACCCAGATCTGCACGACAAGTCTTCCTCCTCCTCCTCCTTGTCCTCCTCCTCCTCCTCCTCCTCCTCCTCCTCCTCCTCCTCCTCCTCCTCCTTGTCCTCCTCCTCCTCCTCCTCCTCCTCCTCCTCCTCCTGCTCCTCCTCCTCCTCCTCCTCCTATAGCACCCCGATCGGTCGCAGGAGGAAATGGCGATGTAGCAAAAGCTCGAGCAGCATGCTTGAGGTGCCCGTGCCGCCGCACGCGGCTCCCCCGTGCGGGGACGTGGAGGCGTCGTTGCAGTACCTCGTCCACGATGGGTCGGAGCCGTTCGCCTACATGTACAAGCGGGAGGAGCGGGTGGGAGATGGTAATCATCAGCCACGCGCAGAAGGGGGGTGGGGGGGAGGGGGGAGGGCTTCTTAGAAGCACCCCTGTGTCTTAAAAAGCGCGGGCCTCGTCTATAGATGTAAGGCCGGCGCCTTCTAAGAAGCAGCCCCCTTCTAAGAAGCCCTCCCCCCTCCCTCCACCCTCTTGTGCGCGCCGCCAAATAGTAGAAGGGAGGGGTCATAACCTTACCAGACGGGCAATTTTAGGCTTTCCCCCAGCAGACCAGCCATGAAAAGGCGGGGTTTCGCTCAGACCCCCTCGGAGCCCTCCAAGACAGCTCATGTCAGACCCCCGCAAATAAGACCCCGATTTGTTTCATGAAATCCAAAGTAGACATGTTCACCTTGTTTATGAAACGGTACTATTCTGAAGTTTACCTTGATTCGGCTACCCCGTCGCGGGGGAAATCACTTGTGCCCACTTATATGAGCTCCACCCGATGTGGACGGATTGAGAGGAGAGGCCCTGCTCCCGTCACGACCTCAGGAGAGGCTTGGCGGGAACTCCCAAACGCGCATCTTCCACACTTCAGCTTCTTCCGCGGGCTCTCCAGTGGAGCCCGTGCGCCCAGCTGGAGCTTCCGGTGGCCACGCGGTGAGGATCCGTGCAGCGTCCGAACAAGATGTCGGCCTGGGTCGAGCAACGATTGCGTTACCTTTATGTGGGTAGGTGCGTCGAGTTGCGTCTGGCGTGGCTTGCAGGACGCGCTCAGGCTTGCCCAGAGGATCTCCTCAACGGAGCCGTATTGCGCATATTGGTAAGTAAGCGCTTGTCGCAGTCGCGAGCGCCATGAATTCTGAGATTTGGAGTCAGCACATCGCGCCTCAAACCTTTGCAAGTAGATCCTCCAGGAAGAAGAGACATAAGGGTCCCTTATGTCTCTTCTTCCTGGGGGGGGGGCTCTGGGCCAATTGTCCCGCCAGGACGGAGGAAAGCAGATGCATGGCGCCTTCGAGCCCCGCACGGTCACGGTCACGGACGCATGGCTGGAGGCGCCTTCACTGTCGCTGGATGCACACGGGGTCCTCCTCGCGCCGCACAGCACAGCGCTCTCGGCCGCCGACTTCTACGAGCAGCCTGCCAAGGTCTGGAGGGACTACTACGAAGAGATGCGCGCACTGGTGCAGCGCGCCACTGGCGCGAGCCAGGTCTTCGTCTTCGACCACAACATCCGGAACCCGCAGGAGGCGAAGTGGCGGCGCGGAGTCATCGGTTACGTGCCCTACGCGCACAACGACTACACCACGAAGTCGGGGCCAGCACGGTTGCTGGAGCTCGCTGGGGCCTCCGGGCCACTGGCGGGGCTAGACCCAGAAGGGCTGCTCAAGAGGCGTTTCATGATCGTGAACGTCTGGAGGAACATCGCAGACGCGCCCATCTCTTGCGACCCCCTCGCCGTCGCCGACGGCAGCACGGTCGGCGCCGAGAGCTACGTGCCGATGGACCTGATACACCGGGACCGGGTGGGCCAGACGTACTCCGTCACGCACGATGCCTCGCACCGCTGGCTCTACTTCAGCGGCATGCGCAGGGACGAGGCCCTGCTGCTGAAGTGCTACGACTCGGCGGAGGAGCAGGGCATCGTCCGATGGACTGCCCACACGGGCTTCGTCGACCCGCGCTCGCCGCCAGAGGCGCCGACGCGTCAGTCCATCGACGCCCGCTGCCTGGCGCTCTTCGAGGAGAGCGACGAGGGACGCACCGCGCTGCCTGCCGCCGAGCTCTTCCCAGAGCTGCGCAGGCTGGCCGCATCGCACCAGGCGGCCACGGATAAGAGCTGACGGGGCCGGGCTCGCTTGCCGCCCTCTCGTCCTCCTCCCTCCTCCTCCTCCTCCTCCTCCTCCTCCTCCTCCTCCTCCTCCTCCTCCTCCTCCTCCTCCTCCTCCTCCTCCTCCTCCTCCTCCTCCTCCTCCTCCTCCTCCTCCTCCTCCTCCTCCTCCTCCTCCTCCTCCTCCTCCTCCTCCTCCTCCTCCTCCTCCTCCTCCTCCTCCTCCTCCTCCCTCCTCTCCTCCTCCTCCTCCTCCTCCTCCTCCTCCTCCTCCTCCTCCTCCTCCTCCTCCTCCTCCTCCTCCTCCCTCTCTCCTCCCGTCCTCGTCCTCGCCCCTGGGCCCCCGGCGGCTCGAGAGGCAGCCGAGACCGCGCGCTCCTCACCACGCGGGGCCTCTGGAGGCCGGCTACTGCGGGCCCTGAGGCCACCAGTGCACGCCTCGGGCCTCGGGCGGGGGGGGGAGGCGGCAGGGGGCCAGGAAGAGGAAAGGGAGGAGGAGGAGGAGGAGGAGGAGGAGGAGGAGGAGGAGGAGGAGGAGGAGGAGGAGGAGGGAGGAGGGAGGAGGGAGGGGGAGGGGGGGAAGGGGGGAGGGGGCGAAACTCGTCGAGTCGGCGGGCGCTAAGCGAGTCGAAGCTGCTGCAGGCGCCGGCCGGGCCACAAACGGGGGACACTCCAGGAACACACAGAGAGCGGGGGAGGATGCGGGAAAGGCGAAGAGGGCGGGAGCCACTCAGAACGTGCAGTCCATCGCGGGCATGCCGCCAGAGTACGAGGCGCCGCGGCGCGGCTGCGTCACAGGCAGCGGATGGCCGGAGCCGGAGACCGTGAGGAGGGGGGGACGAAACACGAAGCAAACGGAGCAAAAGGAGACGCTGGCCCCGGGGAAGGGAAGGGGTCGAGAGACCCCGGGGCCCACGTCTTGACAAGCCCAGCCGCCAGGTGTCTGGGTCCCTTCTCTTTCTCCTCGTCCTGCTTCCCTCTGCAGCTCCGAGCGCCATGATGCTGCCCCCCCTCTCGACGCACAGAGCGAGCACGGGCCGCGCGTAAAGGGGCCCGGCTGGCGCAGCGTCTGACCGCCGCTCGCGCTCGAGCGGGCCGCTTGTGCGACGTGCCGACTTGGAGCACGCGCTGGGAGTCTGAGGTGGCCCAACACGGGGTCTGGCCAGCACGAGGGGGGGGAGGTTCAAGGTTCCTGGTTCGAGGAGCTGGGGGCGGCTTTCGGCCCCGGGACCGTCACAAAACGGATCTGGGAGGAAAGATTGCACCAGACGGATCCCGGGAGGGGTCCCGGGTCCAAGTTTGAAAAGGTTTGCAGTCATCCCCCCCTGTTTACCGATTTCTCGTGGCCCAACCAGCTCAGGCCCCCCGGCCGTCTCCAAGTGTACGGCAGGTCCGTGTCGCGTCGACCAGGCGACGACGGCACCGCGGGCGTTCAAGATTGTGCACAGCCAGCGGCCTTGCGTCCAGCATTGAGCGATCTGCGCGTTTGGAGGGCCGCGATCCTTCAAGGTTGGACGATACCCGCGGCGTCGGAAACAAAAGCGCAAGCCGTCACAACACGATCTTGCCGTACCCAGCTTGCTTCGGGGGGCAGCACCGCTGACAGGCCTTGAGGTGCAGGGGGGATTCGGTAGCAAATCATGGGAGCCTGATATACCCTCGCAACTCCGTCTTTAGAATGCACCAGCGTCGATTTAGCGTCGACCAGCGTCGATTCGCAAGGGCCAACAAGATGGTACGGAAGGCTCCCATGAGTTGCCACCGAAGTAGACGCCCCGCGAATGTGGCAGAGAGACAGGGACGTTTGGGATGAAGGATTCCGTAGCGGGTGCGGCGGCAGGAAGGGCGCCCTCCAGCCCCCCCCGGAGGAGCCAGAGGCGCCAGAGAGGCGGTCAGCGCGTTGTTTTGGTTTGCTCGGCACCAACAGGAGGAAGAGGAGGAGGAGGAGGAGGAGGCGGAAGAGGAGGATGAGGAGGAGGAGGAGGAGCAGGAAGAGGAGGAGGAGGAGGAGGAGGAGGAGGAGGAGGAGGAGGAGGAGAGAGAGGAGGAGAGGAGGAGGAGGAGGGAGGAGGAGGAGGAGGGAGGAGGGGAGGAGGAGGAGGAGGAGGAGGAGGGGGAGCGGAGGGAGGAGGAGGGGGAGGAGGAGGAGGGGGAGGGAGGAGAGGAGGGAGGAGGAGAGAGGAAGAGGTGGCCGATGTGGAAGCCGATGTACATAATATACTCGGCGATCGGGTCCCCCGGGGCCCAGCGGGCGGCCGTTGTTCTTGGTTTCCCCCCCTGGTTGACCTGCTTCTTCCCTGGGCGTGCGTCGTCGCAACTGATGCGCAGTCCGTGCGGGTCCTCGTGCACAATGTGCACAATGTGATAACGCTCTACATGTCATGTAGAGCGTTATCGTTGTCGAGCGCGGGTGCTTGCTAGAGCCACAGCGCGCGCGTGGTTCTAGTCCCGGAGGGTTGGTACACAGAATGGCCTCCTTTATCCTCTGGCCTCTTGCGTTGGTGCGAGCCCGTCCGAGAGGAGGAGGAGGAGGAGGAGGAAGAGGAGAAGGAGGAGGAGGAGCAGCAGCAGCAGCATCTGATGGCACCTCCTTCCTGCCCCCCGTCACTCCCTACATTATTTTGTTACCAAGGCTCCTCCTGCTATCGTCCTGTCTCGTCTTTCTTACTTCTCTCGCCTGCCCGGCTCAGTCGGCCTGCTGTTGGCAACTCCTCCCCCCCTCAGGGGCAGTGCCTCTCTGATGGCTGGTGAAGGCCGAGGTCCTGTTTGTACGCTTGCGGATGCATCAGATTTCGACGGTCGCCTCCTTCGGAGTGACACCTCCCCTGCCACCCCACCTCTTCTCCCCCATCGTTGTTGCCTGCTGACGATGCGTAACAGCTCACTTTAGACCCACCACCCCCACACACTCTAGCTTCAGTGTGCCTACTGACCACACCTTCAACCACTCTTTTAGTCAGTTTGCTGTCCTGCCATGGGAATTGGAAGCGTTGCAGATATGGCGGAGATGGAGTGGTGGTGTTGGAGAAGGCCACACCGACCCACGCGAGGGGCCACTCCAGGCCAGATCTACCCGTGGCTAGCCAGCACTATGCGCCAGCCACGCTGCTCAGATGGACACTTGCTTACCACCAGCTCGCTCAGACAAGTCTAGATCCGACAGCAGCATAACAAGTAACTCTCTCACGACAGCCCATCCTATGTCTTGCAAGCCGCGCATGCTACCTGTAGACTCTCTCTCTCTCTCGCTCTGATCACGCCCATGCCGTTACAGAGGAGGCCAGGCAGCGCCGGCCCAACAGCATGCACTCGTGTTGGAGAGATGGGGCACGGCCGTCGTTTAGGCCCCCATGGATCTAGAGCGTGGCCCCATGTAGCCTCACAGTTACTGTTCTTCTCTCGCGCTGCAGGCATCTTACGGTTTTGCTATTATAGTCTGCACTGATGGTTCGGAGGGTGGGTGGGTGGGGTGTGGCAATTCTGGAATATGTCTGGCCATTTGGGCCTTCGGCGGAGGGGCTTCTGCCCTACTGTGGGCCGTCGTACTATGTCACTTCGCACCTTTGCACCTCAGCGTTTGATCTCACCTAGAGATTTCTACAGGCCAGCTCAGCCGATTCATACTCATCTACGCTTCGATACACGCCCTTACTTAATAACGCAAGCCAGCCTACATACTGAGCGCTATCCTCAGCAATACATTAGTGGATACAGACCCTACTTTGAAGGGGGAAAGAGCCACCATGGTGGCCACAGTGACAAGGGCACCCCCCCCTTTAGGAACTGGAACGGCGAAGGGGCGTCCCCCCGAGGAACCGAAAAGACACGGGTAACAGCCCAAGATTTGCTTCTTCTGCTTTACTCTTCACAGGGCCAGCCAGCACAGTCTGTGGCAATCCTAACACATCTAGTACGCTCTCTCTCGCTCTCACTCTGTCTCTCTCTCTCTCTCGCTTTCTTGCACATACTCCTGGAGTCGCTGGTACTTGCACTCTCTCTCTCTCTCATTATTGCACATGCTTTCTATTTTAGCTTATGTGGTGGTGCGGCGGTATGGGACGTGGGGAGGAAGTGGACCTTAAACAGGCCTGCCGGTACCTACTGCGCCAGCCTTCTTCGGCGCACAGCCGCGTACCCCGCGAGGCCTTTCCAGGCCACGCTTCGACTTGAGCATTCAGCCGTTCATGTTGCCTCTAGCCTCACCTCTTCTTTTCGCTTCAACGAGCTCGTTTACCTTGAGCGCTGCACGCCTGGATTAACAAGCTTGAGATTTACTTTCCGGGAGGATTCCACGTGGGTGGGTATCCAGGTAACACCAGGCGTTGCAGCGCACTGCCATACAATCCTTACGCCAGTTTCTCTAGGCAGTAAGCCTAGGTCTCACACGGCTCATCTAGCATCGCCTGTTCAATTTTTTGTGCATGTGTATTTCGCCCCTCCTTCTTGTGTCATCATTGCCATTACATGTCTTTGTCCTGTCTCTTCGTCGGCATCTCCCACAGTGATGGTGGCGAGCGCTCACCCTGCACCCCTGAGGGCCTCTATCTGCCGTCCATATGTTTCGCACGTGTGTTCCCGCAGCGCTGCCGCTACAGCCTAATGTGTTTGCTTCTTCGCCTAAGTCGGCAATTGCTTTGCTCAGGCATTAACGCCACAAGCCCGTGCTTCAGGTCCGAGCAACGTCAAAATACAGCAGCAGCAGCAGCAGCAGCAGCATCAGGAGGCCGCAGCGGCAGAAGCAGCAGCAATTGCAGCAACAGGCGCAGCAGGAGAAGCAGGATTAGAAGCAGGAGCAGGGGATCAACAGGATCAGAGGCGCGGAAGCAGGAGGGCAAAGGTTCGGAAGGAGAAGCACGACGACGACGAGCAGGAGGAGGAGGAGGAGGAGATCCGAGAGAGGAGTCAGCGAAGAGAGGGTGGAGGAGGAGCAGTGGTGACACGGCTTGGTGGCCACCGAGGACGAGGACGAGCCATGTTTGGTGCCAGGCTCAGCACTTCCAACCATGAAAGCGAGGCGTGGGAGAGCCCAGCACAGCAGCGGGGGGCGAGGACGAGCAGGGGTAAGAAACAAGGGGGGGCAGAACGAGGGGGGAGAGGGGGGGATAAGGAGGAGCAGGAGAAGGAGGGAAGGCGAAGGAGGAAAGAAGGAGGATGGAGGAGGGGGGAATGACGAGGTAGGAGTGTATACCTGTGTATGTATATATGTATATATGAATGTGTGTATGTGTGAATGTGTGTATGTGTATGTTTGTGTGTGTGTCGCCGCGCCGTTGGCTCTGACTCGCGGCCTCACGTGTGTGGGAGGGCGCCTCGCCACCAGGGAAAGCTCCGCCTCGGGCGCAAGGTGTGCTGTGGGTCTGCCGTGGTGTAGGCGTCGTCCAGTCGGCCGTGTCGAGATATAGTTATATATCTATATATACATACAAACACACATACATACATACATACATACATACACCTGCCAATACATCTATATATATAAAATGTAATATATATATATATATATATTTATATATATATATAATAAATGCATATGTACAAATATGTACATGTTTATATATATGTGTGTGTCGTATATGTTTCTCGCATTTCCGACGCTCCAAGACGGCCCAAGACGCAAGACGCCCCCGCCCCCGACCCCCCCCCCCCCCCCTTGTCGCCCCAAGACGGCCCAAGGGGCACTCAAGAGGCCCCCACGACGGCCCAAAAGGGCCCCAAGGCAGCCCAAGAGGCGCCCAAGACAGCCCAAGGGGGGCCCAAAACGACACCCGAGGGGAAGGACCCCCACAGAGCCCCCCCCCCCCAGGAGGCCCAAAAAAGGCCCCAAGCGACGCCAAAGCAGCCCCCAAGAGGGGTAAAACCTGCTTCCGAAAAGCACCCTGTAAGACTCTTGGGCCACCTGGATTGGTACGGCGACGGTCAAGGAATCGGTGAATATATATATATATATATATATACACATACATACACACATACCTATTCATATTCATGTAGAATACATAAATACAACAATACATACATACATACATACATACATACATACAGACAGACAGCCAGACAGACAGACCGACAGACAGACAGACATACATACATTTCAGCAGAGTGAGGGGGCCGAACGGTCATTGACTGTCCCGGGGCGCATGGTTGACGTGGGGTTCCATGGTGCAGAGTGTTGTTGCGTTATTGTTGTTGTTGTCGCCCTCACCCACGACCCACCCGTGACCCACTTTGCGACACATCGCGCGACCCAACCGCGAACCACCCCGCGACCCACCGCGCGACCCGCCCGCGACCCACCCCGCGCTCGCCCCCTGGCTCACATCGGCAATTGCGGGGTGCGACGTGTGTGTATCTATATATATATATATATGCGTATATGCGTGTAGGCATTTGTCTATATATATATGTACATACATACATAGATATATAGATATATATATATATGTATATATATATATATGTATGTGTGTATGTGCTTACTTCTATATGCTTATATGTGTGTATATATATGTATGCACGAACAGATGTGCCTACGTTTCTAGTATACAATGTCTTAACACACACACACACACACACACACACACACACATGTATATATATATATGCATATATATGTACACACACCCAAAATACAAATCCATATGTACATATATATATATATGTGTGTATGTGTGTGTGCGTATGGACATACAGCGTTCCAGGCCGGGGGTGAAGGCTCATATCCCCATGGCGGTGCTGGGGCTACAGAAGTTTTCGTCCCCTCTCCAAGACGACTTAGATGCCCTTCAACACGGCCAAGGTGGCTCAAGATGGCCTAAGAGATGCCTCCAACACCGCCAAGAAGCCCCCAAGACGGCCCAAGAGGCCCCCCAAGAGAGCGCCAAGAGGCAAAAGTTGCCCCATTCCCTTGGGAAACCGTATAGTTGTACCATATTCGCATCTTGGGCTTTCACAGCGTCCAAGACGGCCCGAGAGGCCCCAAAGATCGTCCCAAGACGGCCCAAGAGGCTCCCAAGAGGGCTCCAAGACGACCCAAGAGGGCCCCAAGACGGCCGAAGAGGGCCCCAGGACGCCCCAAGAAGGGACCCAGAGGGGGCCCCGAACGGACATTTGAAACTCTCCGCCCCTAAAGGTCCCCGGGAGTCCTCAAGAGGCCCCCACAAGGCTCTCCAAGAGGCCCCAAGACGTCCCCTAGAGACCCCACAAAGGCCCCAAGAGGCCCCCGAAAAGCTTTCAGGAAGCCCCACAAGGCCCCTAAGAGCCCCCCCTAGACGTCCCGAGGCATTCCTGACAATCCTCTACGCCGTCGCCGCCGCCGTCCGCAGCCATTTTGGCTGAGCGCCGCCGCCGCCAAGACTGCGGGCGGGCGCCGCCGCGGCAGGGTTCGGTACCCTTTGGAGGGTTCGAGGGACCCCCAGGGGAACTCTATGACACGGGCTTTCACATTAAGAAACCCTCCCGATAGCTCCCGGGCCCCCGAGATGCCCCCAAAGAATTGTGCGCGCCAGCTTATCAAGGGCTGGGGCTTGCTAGGACCTAGGCGTGCGCGATGCGCGCGCGTAGTTTTATTTCTAGTTGGTGTACAGACATACTACATGCTTACATACAAGCAGGCATACAAACATACATACAAGCATACATATAGGCATACATACAACTATACATAGATACAAACATGCATATAGACACATATGCACACGTATATACATACATACATACATACATACATACATACATACATACATACATACATACATACATACAGGCAGACAGACAGACAGACATACATACATACATACACACATACATACATACAGGCATGCATGCATGCATGCGTATATGCATACGTGCATACAGACATACACGTCCATACATACGTGTATACATGCATGCATGTACGCATACATGTCAATACATGCATGCATGCAATATTCATACATACTTAAAAATACGTACATACATACATACATACATACATACATACATACATACATACATATCTATATATACAGACATGCATACATGCATACATATATACATATATGCATACATACATACATACATACATACATGCATGCATGCATGCATACATATATACATGCATACATACATACATACATACATACATACATACATACATATATCTATACATACATACATACATACATACATGCATACATATACACATACATATACATACATGCATGCATGCATGCATGCATACATACATACACACATACATACATGCATACATACAGGCAGACACACAGACAGGCAGGCAGACAGACAGACAGATGTATACATGTAAATACATATAAGCACAAATACATGTATGCAAGTATAGACATGTGTATATATATATATACAGCGGGCGGCCATGATGATTTTGGAATCACACCGCTGTTCAGGCCTGAGTGGCGCACAGGACCTCACGAGGATCCACCACCTGCGCCACCAGGCCTGGCAGGCTGGGCCGCAGAGGAGGCAGCAGGGCGGGGAGGGGGCCGGAGGGGGGGCGGCGCCTGACGGTGCCGCCGCGGGCGTCGGGTCGCCCGCGGCGGGTCGCGGCCGTGGCACCCTCTCCGCGCCCATGCCGTTCCTTCGCCCGCCTCCGCTGCCGCTCGAGAGGCCGCGCTCCTCCAGGGAGCATCGTGCTCCTCGACATCCTCGACGTTCCTCCTCAAGGCCTCCATCCTGCTCCTCCCTCTTCTCCCTCACCTCGTACTTTTCGACCTCTTCCTCCTCTCCCCCCCTCCTCGGTTTCCCGCCCCCTCTTCCTGCTCATCCCCCGCCTCCGCCCCGCTGCCCCGAGGCCATGCCGGAAAGCTGCTGGTGCCCAGCGCGCTCGAGACGCCTGCAGTCAAGACGCTGCAATCAGGGCCAGTTCGGGATCGCATAGGGCGCTGGTCCTCGGGCGCTTCCCCGGAGCCCGGTCGGGAGGCGCACTCGAGGCCGAGGCTCGCCGTGGCCAGGGGAGCTCCTCCGTTCCCGCTCCAGCGCCCCTCCTCTGGTTGCACGGTGGCTGCAGGGCACGCCTCCCCCAGACCCTCGCGCTGCTCCAGCGCGTGCGCCAGGCCCGGCCCTGGGCCCCGGCGCCGCGCGCGCCCCGCGAGCTGGCGCGCGATGGGGCGGCCGTGCTGCGGGCGCTGCTGCCCCGCCTGGCTGGCGCTGGTCGTCGGGACCGCCCTCCTCTCGGCGCTGCTCTATGCGGCGGCGTGCCGGCGGGGGGAGTGCGGGGGGGGGGGGGGGCAGGCCTGCTCAGCAGGCGGCGGGCGGTGGTGGCGCCTCAGGAGGCCCTCGCGGAGCCCTCTGAGGAGCTGCCTCTTCCCTGACCTTCCAGAGAGCTATTCCTTAGCACTGGAAGCCTAAAAACGTAAAAAAACTGAGCGAAACAGCCTAAAACCAAGACGTAAAACAGCTTTGGGATGGGTTTTTAAGTCGGGTGTTATTTCTTTGCCCTCCTGGAAGGTCAGGGTTCCTTCGGGGGAGGCTCAGGAAGCTCGTCGGAGAGCCGGAGGCCTTCTGAGCCTTCTGGGACGAGGACCCATCCCTTCTGCCTTCCCCCCTGGGGGCGCCGCCGATCCATGCGTTTCGGGAGTGGCAGCGGGGGCTCGACGGCGCCAAGCTAGCCCTCTTCAACCAGCTATTCGTGCTGGGCTTCCACCTCCTCAGGCCCCTGGACGGCACGAAGCTGGGCCCTGGGCGGGGCCTGGAGGTGGAGGAGAACTTGGAGGGCAGGGTGGCTCTTGTGACTGGTGGGACGCTCGGCATCGGCTACTACGCCGCTGAACGCTTCCATGCGGCCGGTGCCCACGTGATCGTCTCTGGCCGAAGCGCCTCCAGGGCCAGCGAGGCAGCAGAGTCCATGCGCGAGGCCACCGGCCGTGGCGGGCGCGCGGAAGGCTTGTCCCTCGACCTCGGCTGTTTCCCCTGCGTGAGGAACTTCTCGATCACACTGCGCGGTATGTTTCCACGGCTTGATTTCATGATCCTCAATGCAGGTACGAGCCACGCTGGCGACGACGTCCACGACGACTCGGCCTGGCTATCGCCAGACGGGCACAGCCGGATCTTCGCAGCGAACCACCTCGGGCATTTCTTGCTGACGGTGCTGTTGGCGCCGTCACTCGCGCCCGGAGGTTCGGTGGTGGTTGTGGGCAGCTCCGCGATGTGGTTCGTGGACCCGCACCGCCTGATGCTGCCGAAGCGCAACCTGTCCAGCAAGGTGCACGGCAGGTGGAGGCGGTACGGGGTCGGCTCTTACGAGCGGAGCAAGCTGGCCAACCGCTGCTTCGCGCTCACCCTGCGCCGCAAAGCCCGCGCCAGGCAGGTGCGGGTGCTGGGGATGACGCCGGGCCTCGTGACGACACGGCTGACGACGTGGATGGAGGGCGACTGGGAGCGGGCTTGCGTCTCCCCCGAGCTGGCGGGCCTGCGCCTGTTCGAGAGCGCCTTCGTCTCGCGGGAGCTCGACTTCGTGGCTCCGCACTGGCAGCCAGCCTACGTGTACGGGTGGGACGCCCCCATGACGTCGCCGCGCTGGCGGAGGTACCGTCCGCGCCAGCCGGGCACCGTCTTCAGGGCGCCTGGGCTCGCGGAGAGCGACAGGTTCCCGCGGAAGTACTACTTCGAGGCCCCGGCCGCTTGGATCAACAGGCCCCAGCTCCACCAGAGGCTGGACTACAGCCTGCACGGCACGGCCGGGCCAGACTGCCCCGAGGAGCTCCAGCAGCGGTTCTGGCGGTGGAGCAGGGAGCAGGTCGGCCTGCCAGAGAGCGTGGACGAGGGGGACATCTTCGCGGGGACCCCCGCGTGACCAGAGAGGTGGAAGCGAGGGCTCAGGGTAGAGCCGGCTTGGGGGGCCGAGGTGGCCCAGCACTGGCTCTGACCAGCAGGGTGGAGCCGGCTTGGGGGGCCGAGGTGGCCCAGCACTGGCTCTGACCAGCAGGAAGGGGGGGGGAAGAGGGCCCCTCGGAGGACTCGTCCGCAGGCGGGGTGTAGGGACCGATTTGGAGCGGATCTGCCCTCGTCCCCCCCTCTTGGCAGATCTTCCCGGGGCCCATCCAGCGCAGGCCCCCCGGCCGCTTCCGGAGGCCCGTGTGACACCCACCAGTTGCTTCCGCTTTCGAGGATGGACAGACCCCCCTTTGGTGAAACGTGGTTTAGTGAAAACGACCTGAGGCCCAAACCTGGCGGGCGCAAGCCTGGAAGATAACGGCCACGGCGCCATCTCGAGAACCGAAAACGGACAACTCACTAATCGACGTGTCACTGTTGGGGGTTTTGCCCACCCCCGACGCTTACCCTGCCCCCCCGTCGCCTCCCCGCCGGCAGAAGGAGCCGGGGCGAACGGAGCGGCCGTGGCAGAGGCCTTCCTGCCTTCCGAGAGCCGCTCGCGCGGAGCCTCCGGGCCCTTCGGAGTTGAGGCGCAGGCTGCCTTCTCGGGAGGGCGCCCTCCCCGCCGCCCTCCCACGCTGCGCGCGCCTTCCGCCGGGAGGGTCAGGTTGGTGGTCGTAGCGGAGGGATCCCGGCTGCCGAAGGTCAGGAGCGAAAGAAGGACGTACATGTACATGAATCCACGCTGGTTTCGAGAGCACGCATTGCATAAATGTTCGTATAACGCGGCCGGTCTCGCGAATCGAGGGGCCGTGTTCATGTACATAGCTGGGCGCGTACGTCCTCTGTGGGCTCCCTAGAAGGGGCTCCGTGGTCCGCGGCTGTGCCTGCGCTCGCTGCTTAGGTCTCTCCTCCGGTGGCGCATGGGGAGGAGTGAAAAGTGTGGGGGCGGCAGCAAGGGACGAAAGAAGAAGGCGGAGGAGTAGGAGGATGAGAAGGGAAAGGGGAAGTGGGTAGGGGAGAGGAGAGGGAGAGAGCAGTACACATGGTGACGTTGCCGAAGAACTCTCCGCTCGAGCAGAGAGGATCTCTCACACCATGGGGGTACAAACAGATCATCGGGCGCTGCAGCTAGGGCAGAGATACGCGCACTGCAGCGCCATGGCAACGCAGATGTGTGAACAGCGCATACGAGGTCGATCAGACAGAGCAAACCGTACGAGCCACGCATACACAATACATCCAACGTGTGCCCACACAGGGCAAGGTGCGAAGGAGGAGGATGCACAGGAGAATCAGGAGAATCAGGAGGGGAAAAAACACACAGACACAATTAATCGTCGATCCCTAGGAAAATATGGGAAAATATGGGAAGTGGAGGGGAAGACAGAAACCCAGAAAATATAGGAAAATATGGGGAATCGTCTTACTTGTGTATATTTATTTGTGTGTCCTGGGGCCCCTTCAGAGAAGCAGAAGGAGAGGAGTGGCGCCCGGAGCCGGCGAAGGGACCGAGATGGCCAAGCGTTGGTCCTGGGCAGGAGGCAGGGGGGGACAAAAAGGAGGCACCTCTCAGAAGGGGAAACAATTAATCGTCGATCCCCAGGAAAATATTGGAAAATATGGGAAGTGGTGGGGAAGACAAAAACCTAGAAAATATTTGAAAATATAGGGGAATCCTTTTATTTGTATGTATTTATTTGTGTGTCCCAGTTTCCCTTTAGCCTCGTCACCTCTGCTGGACGCGGATCGACGAAAATTGACAGCTTCCACCCTCGGAGGAGTGCAGGGACGGGTTTTGAGCGGATCCGCCTTCGTCCCCCCCTCTGGACCGCTTCTCTCGGGGCCCGTCCATCGCAGATCCCTCGGCCGCTCCGAGAGCGGCGCAGACTGCGTGCGCATCCGGCGAGGAGAGCGCGGCGGAAGGAGGCGGGAGATCACCCCCGCCTATCCGCAAGGAGCACCCGACGCCTGCGGCCGCCACCGAGGCGCACCAGGCGGCACAAGGCCCGCGGCCTCCGGCGGCGGCAGCGCGCGTGGCGCCTGCCATGTCGGGCGCCTGCTCTGAGGCGCTGCTGGCCGTCCCCGGCACGAGGTCGGAGCCGCAGCCTCGCGGCGCTGCCTTTTAGCGCCGCGGCGCTGCCGCAGGCGCGGGCCCCCCGTGGCGACCGCTCTCGGGCTCCACTGCGATGGCGCGCCTGGCGCGCCCGCGCGGCCTCGCCGCCGCGTGCTGCGCTGGCGCCGCCCTGGGGCAGCAGGGCGTTGTGAGGCCCTTGCCGCCCTGCAGCAACGAGAAGATCTCGATCGCGGAGGAGTGCCCGGGCAGCAACGCCTCCGGGATCTCGTGGAGCTCGCACGCCGACCGGCTGTATCTGGCGCGCGCCGAGCTGTTCACGCGCGGTCCGGAGGCGGCAGCGGCGACGGTGTTCGAGCTCCTGGGTCAGGTCACGCGCAGATTCTCGGACACATTCGAATGCACTCCTGCGATGGTCACGACGTACTTCACCTTGGCAAGGCTTCTTGCCCTCCAGGGCAGATTTCGCCGCGCGCTGGGTTTTTTGCAGATGGGCTTCATTTTCGCACGTGACCGCGGCTTCAGCGAGTGCACGCCTTGGCCCGTACAAGGCTGGGATGTGATGGTTGCAGGGCAAACACTCACCGCGCATGTGCGGTCCCTCGACAACAGGTTCGTGCTGGATGTCCCTGCCGACGCCCGCAGCATCGGTATGCGGGTTGCTATCGTGACGATCTGTGCGTACGCTCCAGATGAACCTGTGCGCGTTCTTTGCAGTGAGAACCGGAGGATGTACTCGCTCCTGCACGGCTACGCCTTGCATTTCTTCACAGACGCTTCGGAGATCCGACCAAATCCAGGAGCTGGCATGAACGTGAGCGACGGCATTCACAAGCCATTTTTCTGGAAGGTGAACGCTGTAAAGAATGTGCTTGAGACAGGACTGTACGACTGGGTCATCTGGATGGACTGCGACGCGTTCTTCATGGAACCCGAGCGCACCCTCGACTCCGTGATCGCCATGCACGGCGGCCACGCGAGGCAGCCCGGCCCAGGGCCGAACACCGCAGGGCCGCCCCCCTCCCCAGTGACGGCGGCGAGCACGGAGGTCTCACTGATAGTGGCCGTGGACTCCACCGGCATCAACAACGGCGTCTGGCTCATGAAGGACTCGGCGTGGGCCCACGCCTTCCTGGAGCGGTGGTGGCACTCGGACATCCTCCTGGGCCCCGGCAGGGAGCACAACTGCAGCGACCAGTCCACGATGCTGCACGAGCTGCTGCACGAGCGGCTCATGGCCGCCGGCCCGCGGGAAGGGCCCGACGCGCCGGCGTGGCCGCCGGAGGTGCGCGTGGCGGCGCAGGAGCACTTGCAGTCCTTCCACGAGGCCACGGCTGCCACCGCGCTGTCGCGCGCCTGGCAGGACGGGGACATCATCAAGCACCACCCGGGGTGCCACTACTACAAGGCGCCGTGCCAGTACCTGTACCGCGAGGCCCAGTCCATCTTCGAGGACAAGCTGCAGGCGCTCGGCCACGCGGCCCCTCGGCTCGGAGCGGAGGGGGGGGCTGCGCCGCAGAAAAGAGGTGCAGATTGTGCCGTCTCGGGGGTTCCAGGAAGCGATGTAGAGGGAGGGCTTTCTTCTTACCCTCCCCTCTCCTTTCTCCTCCTTCCCCTCCTCCCCTCTCCTATCCTCCGCCTCCCCTCCCTCATCGATTGCCCTCCCCATCCCCTCC